AAAAAATTTATTATTTTTGTTTTTATTTGTCAGTCAGTCAGTCAGATGCAACGTAGAACTTCGTACGTAAGTACATCAGTTCATGTCGCCATACCACATCAGCACAGAGATGTAATTGTCAATTCAAATCCAATAGTAGAAGAGGTAGTAAAGGTATTAGGAGTAATTGGAGAGGTTAGGATTAGAAGATATTATTCAAGAAGTATGATTTAATGACAAAAGTTTAGAAAGTCAAAACTAGAATTGTTGAAGAACCCAGAAGATTAGGATGTTACGGGTATGAGGGCGGTTGCCACTTCCCGGCTGCCCACACCGTGGAAGGTATATTTATTTGTAATTAGTGAATAAGTTATTTACAATCATTATGATAAACTATTAAATATTATATTCATTGAATGTTGTCCAAATGACTGCTGATATCCTTTCTTCTCTGATTATTATTATTACTATCATTATTACCATTTTTCTTCAATTTTTAGTTATGAAAATGCTGGTACTGTGGAACGTTTCATTGAAGTCAATGCTCATCTTCAAGTTGAATATACTGTTACTGAAGAAATTAATAATAATAATGCAATGTCTCTTTATTTTTTGTCATTTTTAATCACCAGTTGTTATATTGTGATTATGTTGAAATGATTTCACGATAATGAGTCCCGAAGGAATAATGACATATTTCTGAGAATCATTTAAAACTATGATTGGTTGTTGTAGTCTGCTTTTATTTTTCTCCCAATCTAATGGAATCTATTTTTCGCAGATAGATCTTAAAGCTACAGATATACTCGTCAATTGATATGTTTGAATACTATTACGAGTTCAGCTTACTCGGTAAACAGAGCGAAGACAAATGATGCAATGACACCACGATAAGCTATCCTAATCCGATTGTCCCAGGTCCTGCTAACTATGTCAAGAAGTCTTGATAAGGCGTAGAAAGTGTATTCTACAAGCACTTAGAAACTATGAGGTTGACAAGTACACAAATCGAGTTTATTTATACATCATAGAAACGTCCTTAGGAGAGCAACAAAGCAGCTTACTAAAATAATACATCAACCAAAGATATTCAAGGATTTTCAGGGTGGAAAATGTAATCTGAAGGTCAGCTGAACAACCCATGCGCGAAAACACAAAAATGCAAAATTAGGACATTTTTCAAGTGAGTTCTGGGGATCAAACGTGCCCAACAGTGTGGTACATGACACTGAGGAGTTTCAATTAAGAGTGAGATTTCTGATCAGTTTCATTCCATGTTCAAACCTACATTCTAGCTAACTTTCAGTAGTGTATCGTTTGACCGAAAGAACTGTTATGATTCATTTGCATGCATGCTCAGTTAATTAACGAATGGTTTTGTCATACAATCAATCCAGTTGAAATTTATACATAGATCTTATGAGCAGAATTATCAGTTCAGTTGTTTGGATTACTTTGATAAATTGCAAATTAAATAACAACCTTGTTTACAGTATTTAGTATGCTATTTCAAAGGATAATACGAATAACACAACAATGTGTAAACAATTTTAAAGTTATCCATCAAATAAACTAATTTGAAAACATTAAACAGGAAATTAAAAAGTTATTTTAATTACTTACATTAATGTGTGAATTACACCACATGAAGATGAAATTTTGTAAACAACGAAGTCTAACAGTTAATAAATACTTTACCGACAAGTTTCAGTGTTTCAATCACTGTATTACCTTGTACAACTGTTTACATATATATATATATATATATGACTACAACAGTTTGAAGGGATAATGTTTTTGACTTGTTTAACTTTCTTCTGTAAACATCAAGCAGACAAATAAGACAAAAATCTCCCGCCCACAATTTTAAGTTTGTTACTGATAACTTTTCCCTACTTATTTCCTCGAATTATTTTCCGTTGAATTTTTTGACAAAGCTATACGAATTGTAAGTTGTTTTTGTTGACATGTACTTCGTTTAGCATTTTTTTTTTGTTTCTCTCTTCCTCTCTCCCTTTTTGATGTATGTGACTGAGCCAGTCAACTAAACAAATTTTATTTTTTCAGTGACCAACAATTATACTCTTGTGAATGCATGATTGTTCACATATATTTTTGTTGTTGTGGTATTGTGAAAATTTTCTAATGAAATTTAATTGAAAATTTGAAAATTAGAAGTTGCTGGTGTATAAGGGCGAATGATGAATGATTAACAATTGAAAATGAAAATAAAATTTTACACAAACGGTATATGCTACTCACAATGTGATAGTCAATAGTCTATACTGATTTATAGTTACTTCAATCAGGAAAAGAAAGTAAAACCTTAGATCAAGAAAATGTTAAACTACAGAACATCTACTCATTTAATTTTTAATTCTATGCCCTTTGTCTTCTTTTCATTGCCTTTTTGGTATTTCTACAGTGATATTTTGTTTTCTGTGATTTCATGAGTATATTGCACAGTCATTGTTCACCGCTACTGAAAACATTTATTGATATCAACAACAAGTAGGACTGACAGTATTTACTTTCATAGCTGAAACCTGTCCTGAACAAAATCATCTAGATACACTGAATGATATTACCATCTCATGCTGCTGATGCCTGTAAACTGACATGGGCTCTTTAATCAGTTATGCATTCAATAATTCTTTAGATATAACATTTTTGTTTATCAAATTACCCCTTCTTCAAGCAATAAGCATTATTTGGCAGTAGTTCAAGGCTCGAAATGACCGTTATTTATAAGTTCAAGGAATTTTATTCCACATCGGTTATTCAATCATTTGACCACTTATATTGTTCTATTAGTATCCTAATAGATTCTATGAAGAATTCGACCAACAGTGGAATTCAGGATACGTGTTTCGTCCTGTTTCAGGCTCATCAACTGAATATACATGTATTCTAGTGTTGACGTTTACACTTCGACTGGAACCAAGCTTCTCTCACTTCTGATGCCCAACGTGTTGTCCACTGAGTTGTTAAATCCAGACAGCCAACATCGCGTGCGGCTGAAAATTTTTTTTACGTAATTGGCAATAAAATCCGGATAAAGTGACTCGGTAGAAAACACGATGGGAGCCTGTAGTGAAGGGTGATGGTTTCAATTTAACATTAACACTGAGGGGTAGTTACAGTGGATTATTCGTGATGGTTTCTGGTCAACAGATCTGGAATATTCAGCAAAGACTAAACATCCTGTCGTAATAGTCAGATCTTTTATTTATTTCCGTTTGTCATATCTAGTGCCATTGTTTCCTGAGTTGTTGTTGGGTTTTGTATTTTTACCTTTTTTAAGTCTTGCCCTGACCATCAAAAGATTTGTTTTTATACTGGCGCTTACTGAAGACCAGCATCTCCTGACATATTTATGTTGTTACTTCTCTAATCTCCATTCGGTTATTCACCTAGCAGATCTTATAAGACTTGAAAGCTGTTGCTGAGAGCTGCAGCGAACAAGTCGTTTTTCGGTATCTCAAAGGAAGGCTCTATTAAACGTGTGTGATGCGGTTAGAACAGTTGTCTAGTGCTCTTTTGTCTTCAGTTTCACGTTCACCACCACCAAATGGTGACTCAAAGCTATCTCTGACCCTCTCTTTGTTCTTACGTTTTCCACTAACTTTCCAAATCCCTATTCACTCAGACGCGATCAGTTTGCTTTGTTATAGTAAGGTTTCATAAAACCCGTGTGGCACTGTGCATGCATTTCTGGGAGTAGACAGTGCTACCTATAACCATGCTTTCGAAATCACATAAATTTGACGGCTTTTTGTTGTCTTTGTTCCTTTACGCTAGTCTATTTAGCCCCATGATGCATTCATACCTGATATTGCACACCTATGAATCTCCACTTTTACCATGAAACGCTATAACCCTTCATCTGAAAAACTTTAATTTCACAGAGTAGATTTTAAATAGTTCAAACAACTTTTCGTCAAGTGACTTTTTAGTGAGCTTGTTTTCTGTAAAGTAGGGTTGCTAATCTCGTCCCTGACCCTCCTTACTTACTCTGGTTCGGGACATACAGAAGCCGCAGAAGGGTTTCAGTCTGAAATACCATGCAACGTGGTGTTTACATTCGATTCTGAGGAATTTCACAGATATATTCAACTCAGCTTGGAACTCTTCTTTTGAGATTTTACAAGTTATAAGCAGCCGGTAAGAATCTAACAAAAGAAAATGAAGAATACAAGTACTCTCGTTGTGGAAGTTAGTGAATTTTATTAGGGTTGCAATCAACAGTTGTCTAGCTTATGTCAGCTAATAATCTCAATAAAATAAGGATGATTTATATACTGCTCACACCGTAGCTTTCTATTTTTCAACTGAACAAAAAATGGTATATTTATGATATCCTAATATAGAATAACTTTAAAATCGAATGTCTGAGCAATAACATCACCTACTTCAGCACAAAATAACACAAGTTCATTTTAACTTGTCAAACAAGCCTTAGAGATAAATAAAACTACAGTTTATGTGTTCCAGCAAGCAGTGATAATCTTGCGATTTGAATTTCGTATTTTCAAACTCTGTACATTCAATACTTTTTGTGTCCAAGGGATAATTTTATGGCCTTGTAATTATGCAAACTAGTCTTAGGATTTCTATTCCATACCTGATACTGTTTCCTCAAACAAAATCTTATTCATATATAGCAAAATTCTGTTTTTAGAAATAAGATTAGGAACTATTAAATTCTCTTTAAATGATATACGTTTTGTAAGAAAATTACTTTAACAAGAGAAGAAGTAAACTTTGTTAGAATGAAATTAAAGCCAAATAATTTAACTGTCAAACTAGTCAAGCTCACGAATATAGCCAGATATTTGATTTCCTTATCCAACTAATTGATTTCGCGATGTGTATCATCAGACTTTACCACTGCAAAACTTTATTTACAACTGTTAATAATACACACAAACTTGTTAGCTATCTGACTTATGCTAACTTACACTTTGATAATATTGTGATAGACAATAAAACAGAATTACATTTGATTAATATTTGCTTTATGAAAAGATATATACTTGTATATGTATAAATATATAAAAATACAAAGTAATATGACTTGATAAGTATGTTTCACGCTTTAACTAATATTTCATTCTCTGATGACTGTTTGAATATAGTGCTAATGTTGTCTCGTAAAGATGACTGTATATTAGTTTTACCAGAATTAATATCCTGTTCTGTTGAAATTCTAATAAATTGTTGATATTCAATGTGGAATAGTAGAACCAGTGAAAGAATAAACCCGATCGTCTGAAATAAATAAAACCGGATGTAAGATGTGAAAATGTTTATGAGAACTGATAAGTGGTCAATAAAAACAAGATGCGATTAGTCAGTAAGCGAAGACAAACAGGCAGTTTTCTAGGCGCTGTGATACTGTTTGGCGGCATGAATTCCTCCTATAGTTGGTTTAGACCGTGATATCACTGGGTACTCCGTGTGAAATGCTAGTACTTACGTTAAATAAACTATTTTCTTGTCTGTAATCCTGTCACCGACTTCTGATCGTGAACCTTTTATCCAGGTCAGTCAGTCAGTTATAACTTAGGACTTCGTACGTACGTACATCAGTTCAGGTTGCCATACCACATAAGCACAGAGACGAAGTTGGCACTCCGAATTCTATATTAGTAGAGGTGGTGGAAGTATTAGCAGTAATCGGAGAGATTAGGGTATAACATGATGAAGACGATATGTAATGTATCGAATCGTCGTACTGTACTGTTATCTTTTATTTACAACAGATGCAAAAAATTAGATTTCTTGTCATAACAAGAATAACTTACTGACATTATGAGAGCAGTTGTTCCTGAAGCAACCAACATGATGGCACATCTTTGATATTCTTGTCTAACTACTGTTATACATCCCTAAAACCGAACAAAAATTTGAGAAAAGATCTGTAATGTGTTGATGACTGCTACCTTTTCATAAAGATATGTGTTGCTCCGAGTGGTATAAGCTGGATTATCAATACGAGGTGCAATGTCATCTCTTGTTGCGAGTGGCTTGTAGCCAACACATATTTCTCTGTCCAGGAAAACATCACTTTGTGACTGTAGTTCTGAGAAAGAATTGAATTGAAGGTTTTGACTTTTTAACACACAACAACTTTCCGGAACGTACTGAACCATTGATTTTTTACCTATGTAAAAGTATTTTTTTAAAAACATCCAGATAGTTTCACATAAAGTAAAATGAGATCTTATTTCTGACTAGTTAGAGAGCAACTTTATGTTGATTGATAAAAAGTAGAAAACCATTTTTTTAGGGAGAAAATAGTCACAATTAGGTAAAACGATTCGTCATTTAAAAAATGGTCTGCGATGAGCGGGTTTCTTGTTATTTTTAAATTAGTGAGTGACCCGCTGAGTCCAACAATTTATGTTTAGTGTAAAAATTGTCTATGAAAACTTAACCTATAGAATTAAATCAGCACTAATGGCCATAAAAACACAATGTTGGTTATTATAAAGTGGCTGGATAACCAAGTGATAATGTCTGTGATCCTAACAATAAACTGCTCGGGCTTGATTCTTTCTGCTTTCTCAATACTAAAGGTTGTGTACTGATTGCAATTTTTTTAATTTTATAATTAACTGTTGAAATATAGGCCTATGTCAATAGAAACATTAGCCTAAAGGTTAATAGCTATTTGACATAAGTTAGGTGATACACACACACACGATATTCTTAATATTTGAAAGGTAAAAACTAAATTCATGCACTGTAGATTTTAGTAACTCAACTTCAAGAGTTCACCTCTTTATTACCTTAAGTACTTACAGAACACAAGTTGTTCAGCTGCAGTGATAAAAATTATGCTGTTTTGTTTTAAACAGGTTAACTGTCTGCTTAGAATATCATATCAGAAGCTTGGGAGTTTCTTTCAAAAATGAAGTAAAATAAGCTTACAAAGGTCTGAAATTTCGACGTTGTTAGATTCATACAACACAACCACTAAATTTATCACTCATATCTAAAATAAATACTTGAAAACCGATGACTAGAATTGCACTATATCGACTATCTTTTGCGCATATTCATTTCATCAGTGTGATCCAAACGAGATGAACGAACTTCAACCAATAAGTCGTAAAAAGACCCACGACAAGATATAACAAATTTTTCATCATTAAAACTGCATTAATTTCTATAAAAAGATTTTAGTTAATATAACTAGACTTAGACTGTGACTTGCATTCTATACTTAGCTAGGTGAAAAAATAATGCATTAGACAATCATATAAGTGAAGACGAAACTTGTTCTTATTCACACCTCCACACTGTTAATAAAATATTTGAGTATTTAGGATGATGACCACTTATGCACAAATATATTTTCTAGGACTAGACCAATGCACTAAAAATATATCGAAAGAACGGTAATATATCCCACTTATAATATACTGAAAACCAAATCAAATTGAAATACGTCAGAAGGCTTCAGAAGTTTGAGATAGTCAAATAGTATTTTTTGATGAGAAAACTGCGTAACATAACTGTTTCCCTTTAATGTAGAAACAACTTGTCAAAATTACATATTTATTCTTTTTAGAAATAAGTAACTGCTACAAATATCAGTCCTTCACACCACAACCCACCTAACTGTTGCGTTACGTAAAACCACGTGCTTGTTCCTTTATAAATAAACCATGAATAATTACTTGATTTTTCACCATTCGCACCACAACACTTAAACTACATTAGGATATGTAGGGAAATCAAATATTATTTTACATACTTTGAACTGGATTTCATTTAATGCGGCAGTTATATCCCTGTTTCGGCGAAATGACATATTTATGCCGTAATATTTTGCTATCGCCGATGTAAATTTATGTGGCATTTCATTATCCAACTAAAAAGAAATGGGGGATGATTTATCAGATATTACCTCTAATAATAACAAAGATCCACAAACAGTTATCGACAAAAACGCTGAAATGAGGATGAATTCGCAAATTATATGCTGTACGTGTGAAATTTCGAAGAACTTACAGTTAGTAACAAAGTAGGACTATCTACATTGAAAATACAGTAACCAAAAACAGCCACCGCAGCCCCGAGTATGGATGAAATAAGCAGTATAAGCTTCCCAGAAGAAAAGTAGTAGGACTTTGTGACTGTTTCAAATTCAGAAAATTGAACCGTCCAAATTAGTAACCAACATGCTAAGCCCACAAGAATCCCCATTAACAACTGGTGAAAGATTATTACTTTAAAGAAATTACCAAGAAAATTATCTGATGGGATAATAGAGTGTTTTTCAACCAAACACCCAGAGAAGTTTGTACTGTGTGATACGTTTTCAAGCCCATGTCCTCGGACTTATGAACTGAGACTTAGCATATCCATGGAGGTATATCTCAAATGGTGTAGAAAAACAAGCTCAGTATTTCCACTTACCAATTTCTTTCTTTCGGCACGGTTCCTGGTGTTTGGTGGTTTTCAATGGATTTGGGTTTAGCCACATGATTCCCTGATTCTAGTCAGTAGGCAATTGGTTGTGAGATTGTATGTCCTGTGATTTGAATGAATACGTTTGTTTCAGGACCGTATTGCTTATAGATACCAGCAGCTATCGTGCACCAAGTACAGCTGGTTCAACAGGGCGATGTTAATCCGAATGTGAGTACGTGTTTATCAAGTCTCTTCATCACTGTTTTGTTTGTGACCATGTTAAACAGTACTCTGACAGGGTAACTAATTCCTTTGATTTATTGACGTGAACATCCTCGACCAGGAGCTGATAGCTTGTTAGCTAATAATCCACAGTAGAGGACTTTCCATCGTTAGTCCATCTAGTAACCTCGTGTACATGCTCAGTCAGTTCGGAACTTTTAATGTCCCCACCAAGTCGTCTTTGGAACCAACCATTGGGAGCCGTACACTGTTTGTTCAGATTTAGAGATGGAGTGTTGGAATCTGCAGCTAAGAGTATTTCACCAAACTCAAAGAGTGGCATATACAGCATCGCCTCAGTCACTTTATCTTTCTAAGCCTTAAAACCTGAGAGGGGCCGGTAAATCCTTACAATGAAGTACTTCATATCCTTTGTGGGAAAACAACAACATCATTTCGGTGGTGGGGTATCATATTGTCTATTGGTTTCTAAATGGCTGTCAATATATATACCCACTCTGCCTTCTCTCTGGTGTACCCTATCACCTCGGGAGAGTATCGCGCCCTGCAAGCTGACTCTTTCGTCTGCAATGTCAGAGGATAGCTATGTTTCAACTAGGATTATGATCTTTAGATCTATCTTAGAGCACATATTCCCGATTAATAACAGCTTACCACTTAATCCTCCTACGTTGCTTCAGGGGCACTTGATGATTTGCCTTATCACGTGGTATATCCCTGCAGCAACAGTTGTTGCTGGATTCTCAAAAAGCTGTTCAAACCTAGTTGGCCAGTTCTGACCTCTGCAGCTCTGTAGCTCAAGATGTCAGGTATGAGCACTTTCACACCATGATTTTCTAGATCTGCTTGTAATAGAATTTCTTGGTAAAAGCGGGACCAGTTCGGGGTTACGAACATGTGTCATAGACGTGGTTAACAAGGAAAAGCAGCATCAATATCACTGATTTGTTACATCCTGCTCTATCGTAAGGTGCCGTAAGCAAACAAAATGTTCTGCCCCACATACATGGATAGACTAAGGTTATCGCCCCACCGTCATGCTAGTCAGACACACCACCCTCCCTCCTTGTCGTCGTCGGTTGAAAAACCAATCCGAACTATTCGACAGAAAGATCTATTGCCTCTCATTAGTGAAATCCTGCATAATTGTTTACCGAGATCCTGATAACTGATTGAAAAACAACAAATATACACTATCAACAGCAGGATATAAAAAGTCATAGAGTTGTAATTTCTTTGCAACACGGTACAGTTTTTCGTGGAACGGACTACCGATTCCCATCTGTCTGTGACATATTCAGGAAACTGGTAACGCCGTTTCACTTAATAGCAGTGTGATAAGATAAATGGATATATACTCCAACATACTTACTGAAATTACCTAATGTCAAGGTGAAGGGTCCTACTAAACCTTATTCTTAGTCAGTAGTTCTGGATATATATATAGGTCGTACGATACATCGCTTCCTACTGTGGTTAATAAAGGAAGTTGCACTCTTCTTAGTAAGAGGAAAAGAATGTAGGTGAAATTTAGGATACTCGGCACTGTGGAAACAAAACCTCAATATCGCATAACACGAAATATTTAGGCACCAACTCTCCATCCAGAAGATCATACGAAGAAAAGCTGGTAAACGAGTTTACAGAATATCTAATACGCATAAAATCGTGCACAAACCAACGGAGTTAAAGGAGAAAAAACATACTGGCATATGGGAAGATCGTAATACTCAGGCATTTCGAAACTACTTTAGTGATATCCATATATCACAGAGGAATACTATCAGCATATGTTCTAATTTATCCATAAACCGAGGTAAACCAGTAAAAGACTTAGTAAGTCTTGTGTTCAAAGCAGATACTTGACAAAAACCTCAAGACTGTCGGCCTATAAGCCAAAATTTCAGGAAACATTAATCGTTATGATTTGTTTAAGTTCCTGAACGAAAGCCAGGCTCTTTCTGCGAAGTAGTGTGGCTTTCGAAATAGCCATTCATGTCCCACAAAATATTAGTAGACTATGGAAGTTAGTGTGCATTTAAAGATCAAAAACTACTGATGGATGTAGCCTTCGTTGATTTCGTAATGACTTTTGACAAATGCTCCAACAACCGGCTTTTTCTGAATGGAGTAATTCCACCATTAGGGTCAACCTACTTATATGGACTGAGGACTTGCTGGTTGAGCGTCAACAAAGAGTACGAGTTAGCTGCAGGTTGTCTTGCTGGAAAGCTGTGCCTATCTGTGTTCGTCAGGGTCAAATTTGAGTCGAGATGTTTCTTCTGAATGTAAGTGACCTACCTAGTCTTATTTCTTCATTGGTTTCACTGTACGCTGATGACATCAAAATATGGAGAGTCATAAAAAATGAAGGTGTTACTCTAAAGTTCCAACATGAAGTACAGAAATTATCTGAATGGACTACAATTTGGGGCTTGCTGATAAATACTTCTAAGCAGATCATGATGCAAATCGATCATCAAAGTACAAATGCATACGCAATAAAGCATATAGGACCATCAGGTATCTGGACACACAGTGACCTAGGTGTCATCGTTTGCTAATATTTGAAAACAATTGAACACTGCCGAGCAATTTCCATCAAAGGTATTTGAACACAAGCAGTCAACCAGTGTCTCAAGAAGGCAGTGAGCTGTTGAAAAAGATGTCCGGTATCAGAAAGCTTCCAAATGACGAGAGACAGTTAGATTGTGGAGATCGCATGACAAACTTATTTTGCAAATAGTTTTTGATACTATTTGTATTTATCCTGTTAATTGGTCCACCACAAAATCAAACCAATTTAGCTTGTCACACAGAAGGATTAGAGATGACTTAGTCACCGTTTGAAATTACTTAGTGAATTTGAATGTTACATGCTCTCATTTTTATTGACTTCTAAAAAGATGGATTTCGAGGGCATTCGTAAAAAGTTCTAAAACCCTGAATATTTAGCCTGTCAGCTGATTATTGACTTTCCCGTCTGACCCTCAACGTATGGAATTCGTTACCTCTAAACGTAATTGAAGCTCCATCTGTCAAGTGATTCAAGAGAAAGTTGGATCAACAGTGCTAAGATCAACACAAACCAACTAGTCTCTACTACTTTCCAGACTGAAAATGAAGTTGAAATTGTGATAGATGGAATCAAAAAGTGACGAATCGTCTAAAATTAGAAATTATTGTGTTACTAGTTGACTTAGGACACTCATGCAACAACGATCTGACCATACGCAGATGAAAGATTAGATGTTTCTAATTGCCTGTGAGAATCAACCAATAGGAATGCAGTTGGATATTCCCCGCGGTTTTTAACTGGCGGCTGTCTGTAGTTAAACTTGGTGTTATAACAGTAAAGCTGTGAATGTCAGCACAGGATCAACCGGCATTCGTTGTTCTGGACACTAAGTTTGTCTTGCGATTTAATATGGGATTAGACTTTTTAGTCAAGGAACTATAACTATTGAACTTTATTGGAAGCATGCGCCGAAAACCTGCCTTAATTTTGCTGAGTTAGCAAAGCGTGGTTACTACAATGGTGTTGCCTTTCATCGTGTTATCCGGGATTTTATGATACAAGGAGGAGATCCAACAGGTACTGGCCGAGGCGGAGCATCAATATATGGCGCTTATTTTGCGGATGAAATTCACGCTGACCTAAAGCACACTGGTAAGTCATTTAAAAAGTTTACTAACTGTGACCCAGGAGCTGGAGTTGTTTCAATGGCAAATGCCGGTCCAAATACGAATGGCAGTCAGTTTTTTATAACTTTGGCTCCTACCCAGTGGCTAGATGGTAAACATACTATTTTTGGACGTGTTGCCTCCGGTATGAAAGTTGTCCAGCGCCTAGGTAAAATTAGCCTTAATAATATTTTTATTCACTGTTCCTAGGTATGGTCGATGTTGATCAAGCAGAGAGGCCTCGTGAGCTTATCAAAATAAATCGTGCGAGCACGACAAATGCTATATAAATTACCTCACCGATACCTAAATTTGTATAAAATTTACTAATCAAATATTGTATAATCTGTGACGTTTATTTTGACCCTCAGGCGGCAGGCCTATTTAGCCATTACGGAAATTCCGGGTTAATACCAGTCCTGTTGTCCAAACATGCATTTGTACTTGTAGAACATTGTTCTATTCTGACATCACAGAAAAAGTATCCGGCTATTTCATCAGATATTATTCTTTCTGTATATATGATTATAGAACGTATTAATACGGTAAAACAACTACTTTCTGTCAATGTTGCTTTTTCTGACGCATATGGAAAACAATTTCCAGTTTGTTACACTCAGCATCATAACTGCGATAACGTTTACGAGTATTAAATCGAATACTTTATTCCATACATTAAGTTTTAGCAAGTCGTGTAATCCTTTAGTGGGTGTGTTGATTTATCTTTATCGCATGATAGAAAAATATTAAAGGTTGATAAGTCAGAGGAAAGACCTTTTTTCTGTTTCACGTTTCATGAATTGGTTAAGGCTTACTCAAGTACACCTTAACGATCAAATTGATCATATACAAAGCGGTACTTACTGACATAATCAAACTACAAAGGATATCCACTGTATAATATAATCTCTTTATAGCATTTATTAATATTAGCACTTAATTAGACTAACAAATTCCATATTATCATCCCGCTCGATCGGCAACTTCACGAGGGCTCCGTGGATGGAAAAATGTTAGGTCAGGTACGTACTAATGCATTCGGATGAAAGCAAAGCAGACCCTACTATTTAGTAGGGCCTGCACAGTACTCACGATCAGCTGGATGACATGGCTCAAAGTCTGGCCCCACCGCAGCTAGTACCTTGTCGTGGTGGTCGGGCTTGCTTATCGTGATGACCCAACCGGGCTATATTAGTTGAAAATTATATTCCTGTAGTTCCTACCATGTCATGCAAGTCGATTGGAGAACTGCATGACCAAAAGCAGCTACTCAAGGTCTGACGGCAAAGTCGTACTGCGGGCTGTAGAGAGTTGTGACAGCAGTAAGGTATTTCCCTCGGACAACCAGCATCTGCAACGATCCTGCCTTCTCACAAGGAAGGAAAGGTTAGAGAAGGTAGACCCTAAAACTGTCTCACCTTACCTTGCGGATTTCCGTTTCCGGCGGTAAGGCCCTTTAAACAATAGAGGAGCTAACAATTCAGAAACTTCTCATAAAAAGGCCGTGTGTGATCGGACTCAAGCAGTTGTCCCTTGGGATCTGTCGTCACGCTCCCAGGTTGTTAAGACCAACATTAATCTACCTTCCTTTTCAGGTTCCTCAGGAAACACCCTTCCATGGTGTAGGCAACAGGAAGTGACATCCACCCTCATACCCGTGCCAGCACACGAAACCGAGTTGGTCACAATCACATCCTTTCCACAAACCCGTACTATCTCTCTTATCTCCAGGACTAACCCTTCTCGCATTCCTTTATCACCGCTAATGCAAACGATTCGAGTTCACGGAACGTTATTCCTGGTCTCCTGAAACCCTGCCCTAAACCACATGTTGGAGCGTTTAATGTTCGAATCTGGTGTCGAATAGAGCAGCAGGGTTCATTGGCTAGGACTTTAGAATCTCCCTCAATTGATGTGTGCTGCATCTCCGAAACACGCATACAGGATCCGACCAGCATCATTCATTTGACCTCACCATGTCAAAATGAAGAACCAACTCGATTTCCGTTCTGTGTATCTGGAAGCCCTCATGCTGCTTCCGGTGACCTCACTGGTGTAGGTTTACTATTAAGCCGTAGGGCAGAACTATCTGTTAGACCGGATCCCAGTAGACAGTCTCTTATGTGCTACACAGCAGTTCGCTCCGTGCTACATTATGGATGTGAAACATAGCCGTTAAGAGTTGAGGATATCCGTAGGCTATTAGTATTCGACTATGGGTGTCTTCTAAGCATTGCTCGTATATCCTGGTACAACCGAGTAAGCAATGCCAATAACATCCTCAAACCCAGATCTTCCCGATTACGACTCATATTTTCAGTACCTCTACTACTGTGGGATTTGAATCAACAATTCGATCTCTTTGTGCTAACCTGGTATGGAAACACGTACCAACCTCCACGTTGCTTAATGACCAACCTGATGATATCAATCTGCTAAATTTTTTGGAATCCTAAAGTCATTGTCATTACTTACGCTTGTCAGGCGCAATGAAGCGAAGGTTGCCGACACGCTAATCATTTGTGTGGTTAGCGCTTTTTTAGCTAGTTGGGTTTCTACGTGGTGGGGTCACTAACCGCACGCCCAACTATCCTCGTTTACCCGGGCTTGGGACCGGCAGTAACACGAAAAGGCTGCAGTTGTGTTATTACTTTCTCCGTTATTGTACCGCATTTATCCGTTCAGGATTTTCGTTGTATTTGGAGCGATATAAACTCGTGCCAGACCGACTGAGGTTAGGCAAAATGTATGGGCGACTAGTTTCGATACAGTACACACTCTAATAAAGCTGGTTACAAGTCTAATAGGAATTTATAATTTTAGCACGTTAGCTGACTCAACTTAATAACAACCCTCTAATCAGTTGCTTCCTCTAATCTAATCAACAAAGGACTGTCTTGCCATATTAAGAAGCCTAATTGACCGTGTTTATTTAATGCTGCTGTAACCAGCTGAACTATAATGAAGATATTGTATGTATCATGATACCTGATTCAGGCGAGTTATCTGCAATCTTTTTGACCCCTAAGTCTACTGTAAAACATTGTTCTGTATTATCTTGTATAACACCAAAACTGAGATAGGACGTGCGAGTTACAATTAGTGAATGATGGGCATTCTTACAGCCCTGTACAACTGAGCGATTAGACAGATGCTGTTGCTGGTCCTTAAAGTGTTAACACTTACAGATCGGTGCTTGTGTTGAATGCTTGACCTTCAAATATCCTAGCACGCCGTACCACCTTGCGTTGCAAGCGATCAACCATAGCTGCATAAATATTCACTACCAGTTTGAAGACAGATAGCATTTAACTCGGCAATTTTATTAAATTTGTCAGTTGAAGCAATTAGTCTGACAATACCTTGAATCGCATGCATACATTAAATCACTGTGAGCTGCTGCCGGCTCGCTGTATTGAAATTTGATTGCTGACCAGTTATGTAGGTGTAGTCCAGGTAGTTTTTGAACAAGTCGTGATTGGCGCTTAAATAATCTTTCACCTGCAGTACTTCTCCACATATTTTCAGGTCTTTCCTTTAGATCATATGTTGTAAGGTGTAAACACAAGAAGAACTTGTACTAGCGGTGGTGGGTCATGTCGAAACTTTAGGTCGTTGGCTCTAAATTGTATGAAGATTCACTGGCTCTTCCGATTCATCGTATTCGTTCATTTATTGACTGCTTGATATGCTTTTTGCTACTGTTGTCACCTCTTCGTTTTCCCATTAAATCTTCCCTATCTAGAACGGGAAAGCTTATAACGATAACTCTACTTCCATAGATGTCTGGTTACATAATAAGCTATACCATTTCCCATACACAGATGTAACTAAACTGGTTTGCAGTATCATACTCACGCGAACAATACACTGTCCTAAAATAACTTCGCGGAAAACAGAGTGCTACCTACTAAATAAGGCCTAATATTGGCCTATAATACCACGATAGATTTTTCTTTGATGGTTTGGTGCTGTTCTTACCGACTAAGCTGCTTACTTTTAGGAATATTAATTCACGAATTAAATATAGTCTAGAACACAAGTGCTCATTTTATGTTGCCGACTGTTCAGCAGAAGACCTGAAATGTCATTCCTCAGGGCTAGTTTTCTGTTGTAAGTTCTTCGGGCTCAACTTGCTATTTGAGTTCCCGTCTGATTATTAATCAGGCAACTGTAACCACGTTTTGCTGTCAAGCGGCGGATTTATAAAAAGCAAACTTTAGCTGAAAAATTTACACCATATTAATGCCCACAATAAAATAAAAGGGCAGAAGACAAGCGTAATACAAATAGCCAGCAATAATCAAATGCAGTATATGTAAAGCTGAAGCTTATACGAGAAAGTAAAACTAAGAAAAGAAAAATGAGATTGATAAAAACAATAACCGGAAATCAAAATGCTAATATGAATCATTAAGTAACGTGTAGATAAGTGCTATTTCTCTCATCTAAGTTATTTCTTCTTTTTCATAGTCAGATTTCCTTGTCTTGCTTGTTCCGCAAGCTGCTTTCGACGTTCGAAAGCGGCTATTTCCTCTTCCAATATACGTTTCTTTTCCTCGAGTTTCTTCTTTTCTTCAGCGTGGGTTTTCTTTAGATTTTCAAATTTGGTTTGTAGCTAAGAATTAATTAAGTAGAAAATGAATTATAATTTGTAGTGCCTCCGATAAGTTTAGGAAATTATTTACATTGCTAAAAGCAGAAGTTTATCCAATAAATAGAGCATAAACACGTCTAACAGCTTGACACTTGATAAAACATTGCTAATGTATAAAACATTTGTGGGAGTTCCAAACTTTATAGTATCTCCATAGCACAAGACATGTACAAATGTGAACATGACCACAACATAACTAAGGATTAAAATAATCTTGTGAAGCTGTCAGCTCATAAACACTATCAAGTCACACCCTGGTCATTGCTTTTACATGATTAAGGAGTTCTCACAAACATGTAGAAATGAAAGCACATGCTCGTGATCTGTAAATGACAAAATCCGGAGTATCGTCTCTTAACTCTGTTCAACAACCTCGCAAATCAAGATGATTAGCTTAGGAAACCTCTTAATAAAATGAGCAACTAGTCTTTCTACTAAGCCAGAACTTCATGCCAAACAAATATATTCAAAATTAAGTAAGGGCCTAGTGTTTACATGATTGTGAACTCAATAAACTGCATTTGTTATGGTCCACAAAAGCCGCTAAAACTTAATTCTCTGCAGTGATGACTAAGTGGTTAAAGTATTTGGTTTGTAAACACTGGTCGCAGGTTCAGGATCTGTTCCATTCCCTTCAGTTTAGGCAGTCATATATATAAGCCAGCATTTAATTAATGGGCTCACACTAAACACTATTATTGGTTGTAATACTGATGTTGTAGCATTCGATCGTTTTCTTCCTCTTACAATAAAAAGACAAAGATACGAAGCTATAATGCTGTATTTTTTCTTAGAATTAATTATTTGTACACTATTTATGCAAAATTTAAACAATTGAATGATGGCAAGGGATATAAATGACACGATTCCAATCATAATTCATAGTTTGGACTGTAATAATTCATGATAAGATAATTTTAATCCTTGAAACGCTTGTAATTAATAAATGTTGACATCAGTGAATCAGGTTTATCATCAGTAGATGATAAAAATGCATAGTAAACTACCATATCTGGGCAAGTTTTTATTGAAAAGCCAAATAATATCATAGTTTGGTTACTGAAAAACTATGTACACGTGAAGAGTGAGCATATGCGAGCTAACAAATTATTTAAAGGAGTTGTAAGTTTGATACTATAAGTTCTTCTTACAAACAGTCGTGACCACGGTTAAATACTATTCAATATTAATATTATTCTATGCCATCTAGTAAAACCTGTATTCATAAGGTAGGTGCCTTAAAATTATCAGGTTGTTTCCTGAATTCCTTGCAGTGGTTACATACACACTTTCGTAAGTGTATCGTATTACTTAAAGTAAGTTACCTCACGCTCAGCTTCTTTTAAAACTTGTTCCTTTTCTTTGACACGTTGAACAAACATTTGTCTCATTTCTTCTTCCTTTTGTTGCAATTCTTTCCTCTGAAGCTCACGACGCTTTTCGTAGGTTTCCTGTGGTATTAAATAGAAAATAGACACCAAAGTTTTGAGTGCACATGAATAACCAGTTTTCATAAGAAATTAACAGTGGGTACATGCATCAACAAAAAATTAATTGTACTGAACTTTTTCACTTAGCAACTTTAATAAAAGAGTTACGTGAGCATGAGAATTCTGGCAGTTGATTCCAATATTCGAAAAGTAAGTAAAAACAGATTTCTATATTAGAGTACACCTATTATATGATCATTAATATTACTACTATGCAACGAATTAAATCTGTGCATTTTATAGGACTAAACTTAAGCATAATAATGCATTATTATTGATGTGGTCAAAGCATTTGACTTTCAAATATTAGACTGCATGATTTAATTTCATTGCACCAACTTTGATATCAATATCAGTCTGGCAATATAATAAGACGATAAACTGAAATTTATGCTTAAAACTGAGTGGGGGTCTCTAACCCCATGTCGAAGCCTAAACCTCTATTCATGCTTGGGACCGGCAGTCCTAGAAGCGCTCCGAGTGGAGCATGAAAATAACAAGAGCAATTCTGGAAGAGATCGAAATAATGTAGGAGCAATAATAAGACTAAACATCAGGAATATAGTTTAAAAGTATGTAGTAGAAAAGGCACTATTAAAAAAATCAAGAGAAAGATAAAGATTGGATGCAAATTAGACTGATTTTGGGTTATGCATATTAATATCTCTAACCACCGGTTACAAACATCGCGTGAACCCTAACTAGGTAGTCTGCAATTACTAACATGGTTAACAAGTAAATAACTTCATGGATCAATGTAACTGTCTTGAATCTGTTACCTCAGACTTTCTTAAAACTTATTTCTACAGTAGAGAACCATCCCCAATACATGAGCTAGGACTTGGTTATCGAGTTGCAATAGATTTATTTTGATTAATAGTACTAATACCGCTTGAAGCTTTAAATATCACTGACCAAATACCTACTGTTGGGCTACTTTTTAAGTGACAATGGTGCGACCGTGAATGGAGAGATTCCTCTCTTTCTCTTAAATGGCCATGAGTATGTAGTCATTGCTCGGAAACCAAACCAATGGTGCACATGGGCTACAGGATCTCGATTCGGAAAAGGGCATATGAACTCACTCATAGTTACCGGCCATCATGAAACTGTATGTCCTGACATTTGCTCCACTGCCTTGTGGATTAGACTATTGGGTCAAAGGCTTGGGGAGTTGCCTCCTAAGAAAACTACTTGCTTCGGTTTGAGCGGACGGGCAGTATCCCAGCCCAAATTCAGTAATTTGTGTGGCACATAAACATTTGGTGTCCCTTTGTACCAATTGTTTTTCCGAATATGTAAACAAAATAGATAACAAAAGAGGTTTTTGTTTTGAAATGAAGGTAAGGTTTTGAGCATTTAACCTAACATTTGGCAGTCGAGTGGTTCAGCTATCAAACTATAGTCCTGAAGATTTAGTGAAACAAAACCAATTTCACAAATCTTTCTAGGTACAAAACGAGACTATTATTACCTGAAGTGACATTTTCTCATCATCACGAAATCCCATTTCGATTAAACGTTGACGTCGATATGTTTCATAATGTACACCATGCGTTCGTTCACGTAGATCTTCCATATTCACACGCAACAGCATTTCTCGAAGTCTAACAAAATCACAGTGATTTTCATTTTCAACTTGAACTGAACCCCATGGATATTGTCGAACACGTACCGTTTTTCCATTTATTTTAGTTTCTTCTGAACTACCCACAATCGCGAATGGTATATGTTGCTAAGGATAATTAATTAGCAATGAAAAACAAAGTGAAACTAACAGAAGAAACTGAGTATAAAAAAGTTTGTCATAAACACCATAAAACAGGTATAAAAGGTACTATCTACCACTTTATTAATTTTTGTATTATAACCCTGAAGAATAGTTTATCTCACTATTTTTTGTCCCATGCAAGGTGACTTGATAAAGATAAATGAGACATGGTCAAAATACTATTTGGATTCAGACCTGAGACTTCTATTGAAAACAAAACTACCACTTTGCTAATGTACCATTGAATATTGGACATTAACTCTCTAAAATTGTGTCCAGACTTACAGTAATAATGTCGGACCCTCGGTTATGCATAAAATAGTGTTATCCTAGGAAAAATAATACAGTTAAAGAAACTTGTATTCATGGTATTTGAAATTGTGTAGTTCAGGGTTACAGACTTAATAGATAAGACAGTAATAATAACAGATGCTATAAACAAATCATGAGTAAAAGCCAGAGCTTGTTGATGAATCGAATATGATGCAACAACACTACATCGCTCAGTTTACTGGCTACATCACATTATTTTCAGGATTGCGAATAATATTTAAGGACTAAAAGAATATTAAGAACAACAGACAACTACAGTATCACCGAAATACATTAGATTTTCCCAAATAAACAGCTAAATTTTCAGTTTTAGCTTCTCTACTTTATACGGGTAAACCGCAAAGAGAAGCTACGCATTCGTCCATGTCTCGCTAAATAAAATGTAGGATTCTCCAAACAACAAAACTATTTTGTATTTAAGTGGCACCTAGAACTTCTTCAGGTTAGTCTGTCTAACATTAAATAGATAATCCAGATTTCATCAAACGTACTTTTCATTCAAAATTTACACTAACTGAAAAGAATATATAATTTAGTATTTCTGAGAGGAACCTACATTCATTACACTATTAGTTTCACTGACAGCTTCATCATCAGTCGGAAACTGGTAAATACCAATCTCATTCGACTGTATTTCACTAAGAATCTAAAATTTATTGTGATAAAATCTTCAAATGAAGAAACATACTCTTGCTTTAAACTTTTGTAATTCAGATTTGGTGATTGTATCTGACTTTGCTATTATGGGGATGACATTAACTTTATTTTCCAATTTTTTCATTGCAACTAAATCAATTGACTTCAAGCTAGGAAAAGAAAGGAAAACCATTAGTAATCGGAAAAAATAAAAATAATTCAGACAAATTAATGTTCTGTGACGTCTCTATACACATTTATTTCCTGAGATTAACGATCTTGTTTGTTTATTGCTTTGAACAGATCAAGCTATAATAGTTCTATCAAATAGACAACTAATAATCTCTTACAGGACTGCAATAACATTAGAGCCTAGCCACTAAAGGCCTGGTGAGTGACTAGCATTGATGGTAACATTGAGTTTTTTCTGAAAAAAAGTACACATAAGTTGATGAGGTAATAAAGCAGTATCAGCTAGAGTGAATGGACCATGTGTTCCAAATTTCGAGTTTTTCACTACCCTAATATGTAAGATTGGGTGAAGTGGGACAGGACTATGAAAATCCCAACAGGATCTCAACTAAGCTATAGAAGTTACTAACTGCTGGTCAACGCTGCTCTCCTCCAACGACCGAATGGCATCTACATTATTTCCACAAGATAAAGGTGTCTTTTTTTACTTGACAATCGGTATTCAATATAATCACGTAAACCGTCTTGCTAACCATTTAACTTCAAATATGCTTAAAAATGGTGGTATGTGAAGACTGGTCGAAATGATTCAGAATCGTTCGAAATCGTAATTTCGAACTTCAGTAATTTTTCAGGCGTACCTTTCCACTGTCTTTTCAAACCATATTCCTGATGTTTAGTCTTTCATATTATCGTTGTTCCTACATTACTTCTGTCAGTTTCACTAATCATCTTGTGCTGACGTGATGTGGCAACTTGGTTCATAGCATATTTGAGCCAGGCGCCCAAATGCCCCAGTATGGTCGATAATGGGACGAGTCTGCTCTTTATCTCGAAATCCTCTTACACGATTATGCGTGTATAGCCACTGCCAGGAAGATTTTATTCACTGCCTTCTTACAGTGTGTATTTATTTTGTGAAATCTAGAGGAAAAGTGAATGTTAGGAGCTTTAAACTGGATTGGTGGAAACGGAGGATCCACCTAAAGGAGTTGGGAAACTGTGGTTCTAAACCAGTGATGCGCATGGGCTACAGCATCGTGATAAAACGAATGGCACACGAACACAGGACTGCGACTCCTGGCGTTGCTCCGCCGCCTTGTGAACTAGGCCTTTTGGTCAAAGGCTCAGGAAGTAGCTCCTCAAGGAGACACGACCAGTCAGAGTCGAAGATATTCGTAGGTTAGTGGTTTTCGATCATAGGTGTCTTCGAAGCATTGCTCGTGTATCCTAGGACGTCCGATTAAGCAATGCTATCGTTAAGAAACGAGTTCTAGGTAAGGATGGCAGATCAATAGATGAAGTATTGAAACTTCATCAGTTGAGGTGGTTGGGACATGTGTTACGTATGCCTAACCACCGACTGCCTCACCGAGCTATGTTTTGCGATGTAGAAATAGGTTGTAAGAAAGCTAGGGGCGGTCAAACCAAAACATGGAACAAATCCATGGTTACTGACAGGTGGATTGAGTCATGTAGGTAGATGTAGGCTATCTGATTGAGGTCCGCGAGACGAAAGTCACCGATGGTTAGAGACCTTGAACGGCATGGCTCAGAATCGTTTGCGATGGCGCAGATGCATCCACGGGTTGTGTTCTATGAAATTTTAACCTTCTGAATTCCTCATAATCTCCATGTTTCTCCTCCTTAATTTATCTCACTGAATTATACTTCTCGAATCATATGTTCGCTGCCTAATCTTCTCCATTACTGCTAATACTTTTACTATCGCTACCACTATGTGATTTGAACTGACAGTTGCGTCTCTGTGCTTATGCGATACGGAAACCTGAACTGATGTACTTACGTACGAAGTTCTGCGCTGTAACTGTTTGTCTGTTATGTGGGAGTTAGTGTTACTATCTAGCCGGCTAAATTGAAGTAAGTGAAGTAAGGTTTAAACCTGAGACCTGTTGACTGAAAGGCACGTGAATGGCCCAACCACTAAGTCAGAACTTCATGACAAACAAATATATTCACAATTAAGTAAGGGCCTAGTGTTTACTTGATTGTGAACTCAATAAACTGCATTTTTTATGGTCCACAAAAGCCGCTAAAACTTAATTCTCTGCAGTGATGACTAAGTGATTACTGCTAATACTTCTACTATCGCCACCACTGTGATTTGAACTGACAGTTACGTATCTGTGCTGACGTGGTATGGCAACCTGAACTGATGTACTTATGTAAGAAGGCCTGTGTTGTATCTGTCTGCATCTTGAAACAGAGAATTTAGTGGCTTGGACATGTACTACGAATTACACACCGCGCACTATTTGCCAACAAAAGGACCAGTTGGAAAAAGAGAAGAGGTGGTCAGTGTACGAGATGGTGTATGAATGATGTACAGGACTGACATCTGTTAGCCTATTACGACTCTCTGGTTGGGGTCCTAGAAAAGATGCGACTCAGTGGCTTGAAACGTTATCAGATATGACTGAGAATAGTAGCAGGCAGTGGTCCTGCTGTGACTCTTATTTTCTTCACATAAGCAGGAGCTGAGATGATTTTCCCTGTATTTTTATTAAGTGAAATGTTTCTTTCACTATTATTACCATTATTTCACTCTCACACTAATCTCTACCTAATTCTTTTGTCAATCTCACTGCTCTTTATCCATCTATTCACAACCTCATTTTTATTTAGTGGCGCTTGTAGCAGTATTTATGTTTTAAGTAAAAATAAGGACTATATTTTTATGTCTCTCTGCCTAAAAATCCAGTAAGGTCTGATAATTATTTACCTCATTTCATTTAGTAGGATTTAGAAAATAAAGATTGATAAAAACTTGAAATTTGCCAGGTTTTGGAAAAGATGCCACGACTACAAGCGCAACATCAAAAATGAGTCATTTTATATACCGTATACATCCATAATTTCTAACTATACATTAAGTTGCTTGATATTATCTTGTAATCGTTACGTAACCGGCAATAATAGGCTTGTGCAAATACAACTGCCCAAATAAATCAAGTTATACGCAAAATTAATCACTTTGCTTTCAGTTTTCAAAGTGGATTTATATTCAAACGCACTAACCCGAGGAATGTCCCATTACAATGTGACATCTGTTACATTAACAGCATAACTTTAGAGGAGGTCATATCAGCATGCTTCTTCCTTTTGTACCTATCATGTGTTTAATGTTAGCTGTCTTCGTAAACATATCCTAATACCGGTCAAACGAACTGTAAAACATGAAATGTTACTACAAACTTGCTAGAGGGAGTTTGAGTCGAGTCCATGATTAAGTTGGTATTTCGGAACTAAAACCTGAGGTCAGAAACACAGTATCACATTTATAAAAAGTTAGGAACATCTATCTTAAATACTATAAATTATACCTAACGCGAATGTGAGTGATAACAGTCGGTTACTTGAAGCACGAGCTACAACTGAAAAGATCGTACGAACACACGGTGAGTAGGAAATTTACCTGTGTCCAGTGGGCGCAATAAAGTAAAGGCAGACATGGACTCTAGTATCGTGAAATGCTTGCATAGACCTTTTCATTTTCAATTCTTCTTGCAGATAGTTTTCAAACTGGCTATCGATATAATCAACAACAGGTCTTATACTAGGAAGTATTAAGTGAGTATCGGAATATTACTTGTTTTCTTTATTAATCTGATCACCGTATCCACAGGTCTCTACTACAGTTAACTTGAGCTTGACATTGGCTTCCTTGAGATCTGTTAAAATATCTGAAGAGTGGACATGTTCCTACCGTAAGTAACAGCTTTTAACTTGGGATCTGCAAGATCATGAGTCGACGGAGTGAAATCAAACTTTTGGTTGAATAGCGTCTCTAGTAATGTGGACTTCCCAATTCCTGTCTCACCTACAAAATATATAGAACAAGAGAGACGAACCAACACATAGTATATTGAACACGAACCCTTGGCTGATAGCCTTGTTGACTAGTTGATCTGGTAAACTATCGAAACCAACATGCCCAGTTAGTTTTAGAGTCCGTACATCAGGAGGCTAAAATATTTGAGAAGTAAATATAACAAACCAGCGATTTTAGGACATCTGCGGTCATTTTTCCAAAGACGCGGCTAGAGGACGTCCAATTCGATGTCCAATATAATGATGCAATATCCAATATCTTTTTCACGAGCTAGTGTAAACCAATTGATTTCTTCGCGCTCGATTCCTGTTCTTTCGGTACGGTTACAGGTGTTCGGTAATGAGGAGGGATTGTAGACAGAATGCTTGAATGGATCACAACAATCGTCGAACTAAAATATTTGCAGTGTCCTTTAAAAATATTGGCTTTGGGAGCTTCTGAAAATACACTGTCATTTAGATCCTTGAGTAAACTTACTGGCCTAAATCCTTGAATCAACTGAACCCTATAGTTGTTTGGTTTAACAAAGTTGTTTCATAAATAATAACACCTACTTTTACTGTTTTAAACACCCACATCGCTAGCGTTAACACTCCAGGGATGGTCAATGCTTGAAAAACATTTCTACTTAAGGCCAGATTGTTGTGACCCACTGGAAACGGCACGCGCCGAAACGGATGCGAGCCAGAATGTAAAGTAAGCTCGATGTTTGATGTCGACTACTTCCGACTGCGTTTCATTTCATTTTTCATTTCCTGGTGACAATTTTCCTTTGGTTGAATCCCATTTATTATATATCTGGTTTCAGTTATTCGATTAATTCCCATTATCCACCTTCGTAAATTTTCATTCATTTTACCTCTTCTTTATAACCATATTGCAATACAGAGCAATATACTGTCACTTTTGTTTGTACATTGGTTTAAGTATGACGCAACAAGAGGCTGTCATTTGATTATTAGATTTTGCTGGCTGTTATTTTGACCATACTGTATCAGCAGTCGGCGGTATATATCATTCAATTACATTGATGCCTGATCGGCAGAAAGTAGAAACTACGGATTGTCATTTTCTGTTTATAGCTATTCTTTGCCATGCGACAAGTAGGTATATTCAAACTACTGTTTAAGTATGGTTTATTAACCATACGTAGTTCAACTCCTAATTTCGTACAGTACAGTACGTGCAGTTGCTACGGAGTTGATAAATATACATTATATATAAAAAATCTGATCTCTCTTATAGTAGCTAGATATCCACTGCTGTATTGTGACTCTAATTTGGGCACACAAGATGTTGAGATTAGATACATAAATTGTGATTCTCATCAGTTCATATCATCAAGTTGAGTAAATGACTTTCAAATACAGAACAAGTCTACTTCCTAATCCTTTCATCAGTCACAAATATGTTGTAGTGAAATACTTCGATGGAGGGAACGCGATTGGTTTAATAGAAACATTCATTATTATAACTAATTCTACCAGTGTTTGTTGCTGCCATTCTTCGCTGTAGCTGCTCTTTGATTCGCTCACTTTCCTGGTTTAATTTCGGTGTTCTTTCGACACCACAAAATTACCTACAGACCCCAGTCAGTAAACCCTTTCTAGCGAAAGGGTTCTAGTGAAAGTGGATCCACTTTCATGAAGAGAACGCGATTGGTTTAACAGAAACACCAACTAATATAACCAATTCTACCAGTGATCCTGTAAATAAGCTTTTTGTTTATAACCCTCTTTACCTGCAACTTTCTGTTTGTGTTGCTGCCATCTTTGCTGTAGTTTCTCTTTAATTTCGCCCACTTTCCTGGTGTAATTTCGGTGTTCTTTCACACCATTAAATCACCAGTAAATATATTCTTTACCCTGGATTTATTTATCTACTCAGTGACGGGTTTGTAGTTAGTATTCAGTGGTGATCCTAGTCAATCTCGACTCGATGATCACTAAATTGTGATGAACTCTTTCGGCAGTTACTATTTCCATCTTCATTTGTTGGCACTTGTCATTGTTGAGGATGTTTACGTTAGAACAGCTATTTTCGAGATGAGTATGTATATCATGAAAACCCAAGCAGTTAAATCTTGCCTGATGTCTTTCTTAATGCATCCACACACAACTCCGTATACCAAAATGACTCAACAACGGGCTAAATTCGATCTCGATATTAGTTAAATGATTAAAGGGGTATTAAGATACACAGTAATTAAATGTGATTGCTTTTTAAATACTTCCCAGTATGCCTGTATCCTTCTTCATGGCGAAAATCTAGACTTCAGCCCTTATTCATCACATGTTGAAAAACCTGAAAATAAATTAATTTTAGTGGTCAGTATGAATTTCAAATTGACTTACCGCTGTATTCATTACTTCAATATGACAGGTTAAGTAGTGCATTGGTTATATACATACACTTGCCACACTTCTGCTTTTTTTCTCTCTTTTCTTCTTTTCAGAACCCTTTTAACGGTGGGAAATCCTTAACGACTCTACGGAACATGCATCCTATGTACATCACTGTCTAGATCACAGCTCGTATCAGGCGCGTTCCATTTGACCTTTCCCAACAAATTCACTATTGATCTCGGCCAATCGCCTAAAGAACCTATTGTGCACCCTCCTTATTTGTACTCTACTATTGAAAATGTGGCTGAATTATACTGTTTCTGTCAGTGATATGGTGTAAATATGCAATCAGAAACTGACTCTTACACTTAATTTAACTGCTATAACTTTTACATTAAATGTGGAAGAATTGATAACAATTTGATCCAGCATGTAAACTGGCGTGACTCTTGTAACGTAGTTATTTGAGAGTAAATATATTACTTACTCAATTACTTTCGTCTGTTACCACCAATGGAGCATAGGCCGCCCACCAGTTTTCTCCAACCAACTCTGTACTGGGCTTCCCTTTCTAGTTCTGTCTAATGTTTGTTTATTCCTCTCATATCACTGTAGAAATCAAGAGTAATTAATGGCACAGTAGAAAATCATTTGATGGTTATTTTGCATCATTGCATTCCATATTTTGTCAATATTTAAAGTATATAGTTTGAGACAAAGCTATCACAGACTCAGAAAGTATTATTCTATACAATGTAATTGATATGTGTCATACTGATGAGTGTCACAGAGTATGAAACCAAAGCCATATAAGCTATTTACCGATTGCTTCAAAGCATTTATCATAATTCGTATTTAATAATATTGAAAATAATGCAAAACTAACATAAGAATGCAAACTTTTATTAGGTATCTTGCACCATATTATGGAAAAAGCATTTCTCAAATATATATATCACGATGATATTTTCTGATAACATTCAGTTTAAAAATTATTAAATTTGAAATCAAAGTTAGTAATATTCACACACTATTCTGAATCTTATTTCAAAGTTTATCGCCTCGATTCATTTACATCTGAATATAGCTACTGTTCACCGTTGATACATGACCCTAGAGAATGTTATCCACCAAACTATTGAATCATTATAGTCCCCTATATATACTTCTCTGGTAATAAGTAGCTGGAATTTGACAAAGAATTATTTGTAAAGACAAAAGATTTTGAATGTTTTTTTCGTTAATTGATATTGTCAGAGGTTTTTTCTAACCTTATTTTTGAATTTTATGAAAATATTTTATTTTACCAACTGTTCACTTATGTTGTTTTCAATATTTGTCACATAGATGTGACATTTTTTATAGAGAGAATAAAAAAGCTTTGTTGACCATTGTTCTGTTTATTTCACCTTGTATCCAGTTTTTCGTAGTAGGTTTTTCCCCTACTCACTAGATATATTTATCTGCTTGATAGGAATGGGAAACTTGAACCATTCTGACTTTCTTCTTTATCACTTTTTCTCCCCTTTTTAAAAGCTTTCACTTCATTAACATCATCCTTGTCATAAGCGTCATCATCAATTTCATCAAGGTACATGTCATTATTATCTGTTTAAGTAAGTCAACCAAATAATTGAACATTGACCTGTAGACAGCATTCAAACAAAAATTGTCGCCAAACATAATAAGACGACTGACTAACATACTTCATCATGTTATACAAATTTGTCCTTCTTGAAAAAGCCGAAGCTAAATTTACGAAATACAATTTGAAAAAGAATTAGCTGTTTTATTCACTTATACAGAGAAGTTGATAAAAAAGGTAGAATGACTTAAACGTGTCTTTTTGTTTGAATCTATTAAGTGACAATCTTAAGCGTGCATATAAATACATAAGCTAGCGCACATTAAGTGAATTTCAAATGGTGACAACGAATGGATTAAAAGACATTATGTTAAGTGTTCAATGGTATTGATAACAGAAACAGCAACAACAACTGATGCTTCTTTCTCAAAATATTTAGCAAGAGTTGAGACTAACATCTATCTATGTGTTTGCTTAATAGAATCAAATCGTGAATTTGATAAATACATCACTGATGACAGATTATATATATATATATATATATATATATATATATATATATATATATATATATATATATATATATATATATAATTCTCTGCAAACCACTTACGATCGTTATTACGTCCAAAAACTACCACTCTAACCAAAAATCTGTAATGTCCACTGAAATACAAATAGGTGATAAACAAAACGATTGTTAGTTGTATATTGCGTCTGTTACCCCCCCCCCCAATGGAGCATAGATCGCCGGCCAGTATTCTCCAACCTACTATGTCCTCGGCTTTCCTTTCGAGATCTGTCAAATTTTTTGTTCATTCTTCTCATGAATGCCCATATTTCTTGGCGTAAAGTGTTCCTTCACCTTCCTCTTTCCTTTTGATCTTAGATGCTTCCTACAATGTATGTCCTATCCACTTCCACCGCTTCTTCCTGATTTCCTCCTCCACTGCAATCTGGTTTGTTCTCTCCCACAGTTCGTTGTTGCTGATGGTGTCTGGCCAACGAATACTAAGTATTTTGCGTAGACAACTGTTAATAAACACTTGTATCTTGTGGATGACGGCTTTCGTAGTTCTCCAAGTTTCGGCTCCATACAGTAGAACTGTCTTCACATTTGTATTGAAAATCCTGATTTTGGTTTTGGTTGAAAGTTGTTTGGAGTTCCAGATATTTTTCAACTGTAGAAATGTAGCCCTCGCTTTGCCGATCCGTGCCCTCACATCTGCATCGGATACACCTTGATTGTCGATGATGCTACCAAGATATGTGGTGTTAACGTCCTCCAAAGAATCTCCATCAAGTGCCATTTGGTTGAC